GTGTAAAAATATAAAAAATAATTTAGAAAATGATAAAAAATATATTTAAAATGGGCAAAAAATAGACAATTGTGATTAAAAACGTAAAGAAAGAGAGAGATTGACTAGGAAAGAGGGAAATCAGTGGATCCTGAGGAAGGTGGAATAGGCAGGGAGAGCAGAACAACTGCTATTAAAACTAAAACATAGAAATAAAGCAGCATAACAGATCTGAGATCACCCATAGTTATTTTTCAGATTTGACTACAACCCAGTTATTTATATAAATATCTTATAAGGCCTTAACCCCTTGTAGACTGCGTTACAAATCCTCACTAAACCACTTCTGGCCTTAAAGCTCTCATTCAATCATTGTTTCCATGTATCTGCAGTGGTCTCTGGTATACGAGTCTGTGAGTCGTTCCCGGTGAAAAAGAAGCTCTGGCGATCCTGTTTCAGGAAGTAGAAGTCAGTCAGAGGAGAGGGGGCCAAGAAAACGGAAGGATTTAGTGTTATTCATGATATCCACATATCTCACAACTGACTGGCTAACAGCAACACAGCTCTACCACTGACCAGGGGCGGATTTGGGGCTGAAGAAGATCCGGGGCTTAACACACACACGCACACGCGCACACACACGCACGCACGCGCACACAAGTGCGCACACACACGTGACACACACTAGTCAACATCATATATATTTGTCTTGTACCACATAATTTTTTATCTGAAGCTACATATTAAGCATGTTCAGGGCAGAGTATTGTTCCTGTTAGTGTTTAGTGTGAGGTGTTAGTAGGGCTGTCGCGGTAACCGCAAAAATGAAATATCGCAATATGAAGAAGCCCACCGCGCTGCATCATGGGCCACCGCGATTACTGAACTTGGTTCAACTCAATGATGCGTGTTGAGAAGGATGGCTGCACTGGTATCAAAACGAAACGTTACTTCGCTCCTTTGGGAGCACTTTGGTTTTCAGTACGTCAGCTGCTGCTCAGCCAGAGTCCTTGGCCGAGACAGAGCTGCCACCAGCGGCAAAATAAATAAATAAACGCTCGGAGACCTGCTGAAGTCCCAGACAAGCACTGCTTCTGCAACCGTCCCGAAGAGAGTTTGAGCCGAGCTGGAGCTCACTCGCTACCTGCAGGAGGAATGCATCCACCCTAAAGAAACCCCCCTGACACGGTGGAGCAACAACCGGGAGAGATTCCCTTTGCTCGCCAGAGTCGCACGCAAGTACGTGTGCGTTAGTGCAACGAGCGCACCATCCGAGAGGGTTTTCAGTGTTGCTGGAAATGTTGCCACCCCTCTCAGATCCTCTCTCAAACCGTATATGGTTAACATGCTGGTTTTCCTTGTGGGTAACAAGGACGTGACCAAGCTATAAATCACCGTCATTCGTGTGTGTGAAAGTGAAATGATAGTGCGCCCCCCCCCCCCCCCCCCCCCCGGCGCGCGCGCGCGCGCCCGACATGTAATTTTTTATGCTTGATTTTAAACAACTAAACAAAATGGGGACTTGTTTCTTATTTGTTAGATGCTGCAGCCAAATTTGCATTTAAAAGTTTAACCTCCTGAATTTTGTTGTTTTTAAGTTCAGTCGGACTCCGACTGTCGGAGAAACAAACGTTTCTGCGATCTGTGTTGTTACTGCCCTTTGATCTGCATTCAGTAAAGTGTTATTAAAGAAGACACTGCGATTTTTAACCTTTTTTAAATGTGTAAACATTATGTTTAGATAGTACTGCAATAAAAAAAGTGCTGCAATAATATCGCACACCGCAATATTAAGCCACCCTGAATCACCGCAGGGGGAATTCCTCAACCGCGACAGCCCTAGGTGTTAGTAAATATTCACTTTCTTTCTCCAACAACTTTACCTGATAGTAAGCTAACTTTAGGCAAACCAGCAGCACAACAAATATTCTCAAATAAGACTCACAAACCTGAGTCAGCACCAGTCTCATCAAAGCTGGGGTTCTGTCGCGGTACTTTTTGTCTAAAAAAAATGTCCTTATGTCCATCTTCACTCATGCATTTCAGGTTTCAGGCAGAGACTGTAGAAGAAGCCGGCTGCTGAAGGGCTTCTTCTTCAGTGGTGGAGGCTCAGGCAGGCTGTATACAAACTACTGCTAGCTGCTCCCTCTCTGGTGGACTTTGGTACTGCATGTTACTTCCGCGATTTAGATCCGGGGCTTATCATGAAACATCCGGGGCTTCAGCCCAAGTAGCCGGGCCTAGCGCCGCCCCTGACACTGACTCAAACGTTGATGCTTCATCTCAACAAATAACACAAGCCTGGAGGAGTTCTGCTGTGTGGTGGAGTTGCTAATGCTAATGGCTAGCTTCCACTAGTCGAGACGTTCTCTGCTGTTTTCTGGGCGTTAAAATGACAACAGCCTTCGCTGTCATGAAACAAGGTGGGTGAGTCGATGAATGTTATTGTGATGAATGATCTGTCAGGCTTTGCTAACCCAAGCATTTCACAGTCTAAAGCAGGAAATAGGAGCAGAAAGCTAGTTATGCATCTGAAACTTGGAGCAACGGATCATATTTTGGATATATCAAGTAAAAAATAGAACCGGCACTCAGATGGAGTATCAGGATTAGTACCTCCATCAGACATTTTCCATATCCTCCTGATTCTTCCTGACTACCGTCTTTTTGTGCTGCTATCTCTACCAATTCTGCCTTTCTAGGGATCCTGTATTAGCTTTAGCGTCATTTTTGTCCTCCTCATGTTTAGTTAAAATTTGTCAATTTTCCCCCTTTTTATGATAATTTGAAATAATTTAAATTCATTTTGTTTTGTAATGCGCCTTGTGATTTTACTTAGAAAGGTGCTATATTTAAAAAAATTGTTTCTTTTTCTTCTACAAATCTACTTCCCTCTGATAAGAGATCTACAGGTGGAGTTTTTATTTATTTACTGTTATATTCTGATACATAATTAGTTAAGACTGATATTGTATACTACCATAGACCCAATCATAGCTCAGTTTCAGCCACTAGATTATATGATTATAGAGCAGGCGTGTACTTGAAAGAAGAAAAATGTGAATGACCATGTGCCTAAATTAGGCCTGGTATAAAAATCTGAATATGTAACTCAACAACAGCTGGAGAGACAAAGTTTTACTCTCTAGAAATGAATTAGCATGCAAAACTGACTTTGGGCTCATGGACAACACTTTGGAAAGAAGGGATGAGCCGGATACTCATTGCAGACGAGTATCCGGTACGGATAAAGCATTTTGACGAGTACGAGCATGAAATGAGTAAAACTCGTAAATATCTGTAATCGCGCTGAAGGAAAATCCTCATTGGGTAACTGACTGTCTTCACGCTCTGTGATTGGCCAGGTCACATAGAGTGCCCACCCCTCCCAACACACAAAACTCAGCACCGGGAGCTCACAGCTCAGTCTGGGTCCGGTCCATCCACACACACAGTAACGGTTTCTTCAGTACTCCCTAGGTTTTCTTCAGCTCACCTCTTTTTTAAAGTTACTTTAAAGTTACGTTTTCGTAACATACATGGTGCATTTGAACAGACAGAGCTGAAAACGACTCGTGCTGCGTCAGTCACTGCTTCCGCTCCGGTCGGGTAATTTTTTTTTCCCCTCTCTCCTCTCTCCTCTTCCTCAGGATCCACTCCCTCTTTCCTATTCACTCTCTCTTTCTTTACATTTTTTAATCACAATTGTCTATTTTTGCTCATTTTAAATATATTTTAGTCATTTTCTAAATTCTTTTTTACATTTTACGTTTTGTTTTTGTGAAGCACCCGTGATTTTTATCTTGAGAGGTGCTATAGAAAAGATCTCTCTCTCTCTCTCTCTCTCTCTCTCTCTCCGTCCTCTCTCTCTCTCTCCTCTCTCTCCTCTCTCTCTCTCTCTCTCTCTCTCTCTCTCTCTCTCTCTCTCTCTCTCTCTCTCTCCTCTCTCTCTCTCTCTCTCTCTCTCTCTCTCTCTCTCTCTCTCTCTCTCTCTCTTCTCTCTCTCTCTCTCTCTCTCTCTCTCTCTCTCTCTCTCTCTCTCTCTCTCTCTCTCTCTCTCTCTCTCTCTCTCTCTCTCTCTCTCTCTCTCTCTCTCTCTCTCCTCTCTCTCTCTCCTCTCTCTCTCTCTCTCTCTCTCTCTTCATGGACTTAAATATTAATGTTCTGATTTTATTGAAAACACTTGTTCTGTAATAGTTCCTTTACTATTGTGATCAAAAACATTTAATCTCAACTCTGAGGCTGCTCTGTAAATAGTTTTAAAATAAACAATACACATAGCAACTTCTGATCAGACTTAAAATAACGTATTGATGTAAACTACACCCACTTCTGGGTTAGGCCACACCCACTTCTGGGTTAGGCCACACCCACTCCGAGTACAGACACAGATACAGATAGTGGTGTACTCGCTCATCCCTATTGGAAAGGTTACACAAGGTTCATGATTTACATTACTCACAGGAAAACTAGCTTTGTTCATACATTTTGTTTCTATAATTTCTTTTGGAAACTCATATTTTATGGTCTGTACCGAGTCCTTCAGGTTTCCACAATAAAAACCCATTTTTTTTCTCTTTAAATTGTTTTTGACACAAAAGAGCAGATCCTAGAGCCGCTGAAGCACAGCAGGATAAACGCAGTCTCCAAGCTCTTAATAACAGCAGCGTCTTCAAGTACTAAGAAAGGTATAGAAATGTTGTGGCAGATTAATCCTACTGTGAAGGTAATTGGAATAAAGCTGCCAGAACCATAAAAAATCACCTGCAGGAAAACATCAGCTCGAAAACACATCTCGTAACCTTTTGAACTCATGTTCAGGGAACAAACACACATGTGACATGCAAACTGATGTCCTCATATTCCGTGTGTTTCCTTAGACGTGCACACTTCCTGCTGCGAGAGACGGCAACAGAAACAAACAAGCAGAACCCCACCGACTCCAGAAAGACATCTGGATTTTATTTACACAACAAGAGACAGACTCAACCTCTTTGTCACATAAACAGGTAGAGACTTACATCTTGGTTGCTCATGTCCCAGTAAGGTCTCTCCCCGTACGACATCACCTCCCAGGTGACGATGCCGTAACTCCAGACATCTGAAGCTGAAGTGAACTTCCTGTAGGCGATCGCCTCTGGAGCCGTCCACCGTACCGGGATTTTACCTCCCTGAGGGAAAGATGAAAGATGGAGTCAAAGGGAAGAGATAAAGAACAGAATAAAGAGAAGTAAAGCCTGCAAGGAAAAAAATGGTCATGGATAGGGACTCTGCTTCCATTTGCACTGAACAGAACCCACGGATCATGTAGCCCAGAAAAAGAAGAGAAATCTAGTAATTTAATGTTTAATCTACAAGATTATTCTAAGAAGGCAAGTGAAGAACTCTTCACTCAAGTTCAACGTGATCAATAAACGTTAGCCAGAAAGAGGATGGGTTTTGGAGGGTCTTGGTGAGGTTTGGGATGCAGATTCTGATTGGTTGATATACTCGTGACCTGCAAAATTTGATAGATTCTGATTGATCTCAGTAAATAAAAAAGACCATATTATCACTATTATTATTATTATTATTATTATTATTATTATTATTACTAATATTATTATTATTATTATACATTATTATAATTGTTATTATTATTATTATTATTGTTGTTATTATTATTATTATGAGTAGTAATCATTATTATTGTCATTAAAGACCAAGTTCACTCATTTTGTCAACATATCTGAAGTGGTCTCAAGTATAAATGAATGTCTTGTGAGTTGATCTCTGTGGGTAAAAGCTCAGGCGCTCCTGTTTCAGGAAGTAGAAGTTGGCCAGAGGAGAGGTGAGCAGAAGGTAGCAGTTATAAGCCAAGATGGGTGAGTCCAATAACGCCAACCTTCAGCGTGATCTGAGGTACTTTTCTAATGCAGGAAATAGGGTAGAAAGACTACTTCTATATTTAACCTGCATGTGAGACTCAGAGTGCTCGATCCTATTCATAACATAACAGTACAAAATGGTTTCTCAGTGAACTTGGTCTTTAATATTAACAACACCATCAACGTTGTTTTAATAGATTTTTTATAGCTCCTTGACAATGGTGCATTTATGGACATAAATAAAAAATGGATTATTGAGTTTTGGATCTGCCAAAAAACTAATTAAGCTAATCCTGCTAAATATTGACCAATTCAGATCCCTGGAAAAATAAGTACTATGAGCAACACGTTCCACCATCCACAATCCAGTCATGCTGAATGCTGTAGGTCACATAAGGTCATGATGTGAAGTGTATAGACAATAATTTGTTTATTCGCATGAAAGTTTCAAAAAGTAACAATTAGAACTAGTTTTCTAAAGCCTACCTTTATTATTTGAGCCCAGAAAAATCAAATGTTTCATGTAATGCACATGGTTTATAAAGATAAAGCCTTGAATCTTTATTTAAATAAACTTTATATAAGCTATGTTATTTTACAGCCTGTTCAGCTATCCAGCACTTTAGCCCAAGACATCTATTCAGATTTCAGGCTGCAGAGCGAGTTGAGAGGATGTGTGTTCTCTCTTACCAGAGAGCTGGTGTAGGTGGGGTCAGAGGTGTCCTCCTCCAGATACCGCGATAGGCCGAAGTCAGACACCTTACACACCAGATTACTGTTTACCAAAATGTTTCTTGCTGCCAGGTCTCGGTGAACGTAACTCATCTCCGCCAAGTACCTGCAACATCCACAGGGATTTACTGTGAGTGTGTGTTATTGGCTGGGTACTATAGTGGAATTGTGTGTGTGTGTGTGTGTGTGTGTGTGTGTGTGTGTGTGTGTGTTTACATGAGTTATCACTGGCAGCTACCTTCAATAAAACAAGAATGAGATGGAGTATTTCTCTCTCTCTCCCTCTCTGTGTGTGTGTGTGTGTGTGTGTGTGTGTGTGTGTGTTTCTCTTATCACAGCCTGTAGTAAAACACTGATAGGATATTGTTTGTGGGTTTGCATGACTTCAAGCTGCCAAGTCGACATCTTTGTGTTTTTTTATAAATATCATAGCCTACCATACAGGAGGTAGAAGTGTGTGTGCAAGAAACCCACACACACACACACACATGAGCAGACAGAAGGAACAGAAACTTATGAATCCCAGTAAGAGGGGAGCTGATCTTAGCATAAAGAGATGAGTCAGAAAACGTTGTGTGTGTGTGTGTGTGTGTGTGTGTGTGTGTGTGTGTGTGTGTGTGTGTGTGTGTGTGTGTGTGTGTGTGTGTGTGTGTGTGTGTGTGTGTGTGTGTGTGTGTGTGAGAGCACCTAATTCCAGATGCAATTCCCCTCAGCATTCCGACCAGCTGGATTACAGGAAACTGTCCATCATTTAGCTGCAAAACATTGAAGCATGAAGACATGAATCCTTTTATCAGTTATTTATCACTTATTTAAGGGCAGCTTAGATGCTGAGTCAGCATGTTTCAGCATTAAAGCAGGATTGGAATAAAGCAGAAAAAAGAGCTTAATGAATCTCTACTGATGTTCTGGTGTCTCAATACGACTATATATGAGCAGAAATATCAACCAGGATGCTGATTTGTCTAACAGGACTAAAATATTAACAATTAAGACACTCTGAGATTTAATTACATGGTTTTTAAAACCCTTAAAGCTCAGGCTCTGTTGGAGGAGGAACTTTTCCATCAACTGATCAGCCTAATTCTCACAAATATCCTGAGACAACCTACGGATGTTCAGGTGATCGTGGTTTTACAGAAGCTGCTTCTAATTTGTCCTGATGAGGTATAAATAACATAAACTGTAAACCTCCATGGAACCACTGAAAGCCTAAAACCCTTCCAGCTCCTAATAAAAGAGCACATTCCTACTGGAGTAGTGTCGACCTGACACCTTGAATCCATCCATTATGTTTTACTTTTGAACAAAGCCGTTTTATGACTATTAAACCAGGTTCTTTTTGCTTCGGACATGAAGGTGTCTCGAGTTACCTTTCACATGTTTCGACTGCTGTCTGCGGTCTTCTTCAGAAGTGTCACAGGTGTTTGTGTGACGCGTCTTAATCAGCTGTTCTTCTGGTGGGCGCGACCAACCCGGATCTGTCAGATCCCGGTTGGTCGCGCCCACCTCCGCTGGCTGGTCTTTGGAGAACATGAAACAGGAACATGAACAGAGACGAGGGGGCCTATCAGCTGTCTCACACCTGGGATTCCTCGCACCTGATAGACGCGTCACACAACAACCTGTGACACTTCTGAAGAAGACCGCAGACGACAGTCGAAACATGTGAAAGGTAACAAGAAACACCTTCATGTCCGAAGCAAAAAGAACCTTGTTTATTATTTAAAAAGAGGACATAATGAACATTGTAAAGGGTCGTTTTATGACTTTTGGGTCTCTTTCATTTATTATTTACTTCTACTTGCACCTTAATATTGCCTTTATTTCGTATAATTCTTGTTTTGCAGCATTTTATTGCAACTACCAGCCTGAGATTTATGCCAAAACAGCCTAGAAGACAGTTTTGGTCAAAACAAAATGATTTGGGCTACAGCCACACTGGAGCAACGGTACATGCATAGTCACTGTTGATCGCAATCATCGCTTTGTTTTGTGTTCTTACTTTTGAATCTTTGTACCAGTGTTTCTTCCCCCCCCCCCCCCCCCCCCCCCCCACACACACACACACACACACTGAAGTAACAGTCAAAGGCTTGTTTCTTTTAATTCACTTTATGCATCAAACTGTGTCTTTGATGCTCCAGTAGCCTCATCCTTCTCTAGGTGACCACATGCAAGCTGGTCACACCAAGACACAAGCATCACTGAGATCGAACATTGTGTGTGTGTGTGTGTGTGTGTGTGTGTGTGTGTGTGTGTGTGTGTGTGAGAGAGAGAGAGAGAGTGAGTGAGTCATCTGATGATTTCTGAGTCAAATTGGGTCACACTGAGATTCAGCCATCAAAGCATTTTTCTTTCTGTTTTTAGAGGCGCCTGCAAAGGAGGCCAGGATCAAAGACATGGATGGACTGAGAGACAGGGTGGCAGGATGAGGAGGAAACTGCTCAGGAAGGAAAAGAGTGGAGGAGAAAAAGGGGAAAGAACAGCAGGTTTCTGTCTTTCAGAGTCCAGTCTTCTGTTGGCGTTCAGCTCTGGTGTTTCAGATTTTCAATCAGGTTGGTTTAAATACAAATGCAGTTAGATGTTTGTTTTAACTGGATCAACTAAAACTTGGAAAGTAAAATTAAAATGAAGATACTGATAGGTTCTCACCGTGTTCTCCATTCGTACTCAGAAGTCAGGATTTCTGAGCTCATATTTGGATTTATCAACAAAACCCCAAAACTTGGAAAATTGTTAATCCAGACCAATAACTTTGAAATCCAACATGGCTGCTTCTCACAAGAGTAGTATCGATTGTTGCGGTAATTAAATGTTAAAGTTCACATTTGCATTCCATGAAATCAATATATCTGTGTTTCCTACATTACGAGCTTTTGCTGCTAAAAGTAGCACGATACTGGTAGCTAATCCCACTGGTTTTAGGACTTGGTCCAAATCAATCGTCTAACATCTAAGGTAGTTTGAACACTGGGTGTCCCAGTTTTGCCTTTAAACTGAGGATTTTTGAGGATACACCTGAATTTCTGGAAAGAAACAACGTTATTATGCTTCATACGCGACATTACTTTTGATATTATGATGAATTCCCTTAGGCCCAGAACATGGCAGCAATTAAAAATTCTCAGATGATTTTCAAATTGTGCAAACCACATATGGCAATGAAAAAAACTATGAACATAGTGTAAAAACTACACACAAACGTTCCCCGGTCAAACAGGAAACCTCAAAACACCTCTCATGTGAAAAACAAACATGGTGGTGAAGTGTGAATTGAGTTCTTCTGATTGGCTACACGTCACATTCCACATTCGGCATACTTGTTTGTCCTCCAAGTTGGGATAAGACGATCACGTTTGATATTCCCGATTTCAATTAGAGCATTCCCGGAGTGCTTCCGCAAAGACCAGAGCACTCTTAACACACCACACATGGCAGGAATATCTGATAAGATCATTTTTAGAACCATTACAGTAATCAGAGGCATCCTTAACACTAGGGCTAGACTGATATATCAGTTGGCCTATATATCGCGCCGAAACATGAGATTTTTAATAGAATGGCATCGGCCAACATACCTCTTTAGTAAAGATGATTTAAAGTCAGACACAGACTGGTGCTGTAGCAAAATTACTCAAAAAATAATTTCCAATCGAAATGTATTTTATTTAGCAGTTTTTATAGTTTAATACTTGGTCGGTTCACTGATATTTTGGATGAACTGAGTAAGTGCATAAAATGAAGGTTTAATAGCTGGTTAAATTCAGTTTTCAAAAACAAATTCAGCTTCTGAAATCTTGTGCATCAACTGATGTTATTTGTGACATTTTAGCATGAAAATAAGATGGAAAACATCTAGATATCGGCCACAAAAATAGGCCCAATGTATCTGCAGCACTAATCGGCTATGACCTTAACCTTTCGGCATTGATGTCAGCAATAGAAAAACCAATATCGATCGACCTCTACTTAAGACTGTCAGAAAGGGAGAGTTTGGTCAAAAATGGGCATATTTATCTGGCTGTGAGAACCGAGTTTTTTAGAAGCCTCCCAAAAACCATGGAATTCTTGGAATCTAGAAAAAGATTCCATCACATTCTTAGTGATTTCCATCTTCCTCATGCTCTCGGGACACAATTTTTGTGCATTATAAGAAAGTACAGCTAAAAGATCAGAGTTCTTCTTACACAATGCCATCTAAGCGCTATCCTTTTAACAATTTAAAACCAACATGATGCCTTTTTAATTTCTATTTACCAACCCACCTACACACTAGAGATGGGTCTTAAAGAGACAGGAGCTAAATAAAAGTGAACTTTTCAAACATCGTGAACATCATGCTTTAGAAATAATAAGGTCTGTTATCAAGTTTTAAAAACGTACCCTCAGAAATGAGTCCAAAGCTCCATTCTCCATAAACTCTGTGATGATCATTGTTGGCCTGCTTTTGGTGACCACACCCTCCAGTCTGATGATGTTCGGTTGGTCAAACTGACCCATGATTGATGCCTCAGCCAGGAAGTCTCTCCTCTGCCTCTCTGAGTAACCCACTTTTAGGGTCTTAATGGCCACTGGAATTTCCTTTTTCCCAACAGGTTTCAGTCGGCCTTTGTACACCTCGCCAAACTCACCTGAGAATAAAATAAAAACAATAGAAGTTTAAAGGTGCGAAATGGAAGAATGTAGTCAGAATGGCCTCCTGTGGTCAAATTTGGTTACTGCAATTCCCGTTCCAAAATTTTGCAGCTGTTGCTAGTCACGGATAACTGTCAAAAGATTCTAGATTACAAGCAAAGACGAGTCACACCAAAAGTTGATTAGTAGATAAATACATTGTTTTATCAGGTGTTAGCATTCAGGTGTTTTATGATAGGGAGCACTTACAACACTTATTATGGTAATATTTCTCCAGCATTGCAGGAACTGTGGTTGTTTACCGTCTTGCTGTTATAGTTCTGAACGACTCTTTAAAGGAAGTAAAACGGCACCATTGACTCATTATTCACTGGTAATTGAAAAAGTAGCCTGAGATATTTTTAGAGTTGACCATTTACTTCCAATTCATCAATAGCATTGTGAGCTCAACGTTAGCCTCTAGCCTGCTTCACCCCATATTAGAGTAAAACAAAACAATGCCTTGGCTTCTTAGGGCTACAAGAAATAACTTCTAGGTCGCTCCTGTTTACTGGCTTTGGTTCTTTAAACAACTCTGAAGCTTTTCGCCTGCTGGTATTGAATTACAAACGCCGGCACTGCAGCGTTAGCTAGGCGGAGACACAACCTCACAGACCCACTGATAGTAAACACAGACTATGCCCCTCTTTTTGTTTTTTTTTCTTTTTTTGAAAGAAGAACTGATCACCCTCCCAGCCAGCTGAGAAAGAAATGTGCTACATTTTAACCTTCCTTCCAAAATGACTGAGACATCAGACTGTTTTGTTATTATTTCACTATAATCGTTCTTACATAATGCTCCTTCAAGTTTTAAAGTGTAAAACATTTGTATCCATTATAGGAAAGAAATTAGACTGACGACAAATTGGAAGGTAAGAAAAACGTTCACGAGATTATTTAATTCCTATTTCATATCTTATTTTAAGGCATCTTCATGAAAACCAACAAAACATGAACAGAAAAAAGCACACGGCTCTTTGCAGAGACTGCAAAAAGGCTTTACGATGGAAGCAGCACACTCCACACAGTCATAGCCTGCATGTCCACCACGGCAGATTGAGGTTGTAAGTTTTGCTCAAAGGGCACATTTTCTCTGCAGACCGAATGAACAACAAAAAGTAAATCCCTTCAAAAACTGCTCTCAGGGGTGAGAAAAGGTTGTGCAGTCGAGATGGCAAGCACGATCAAAAAAGGATAGCATCATTATTATTGCTTGGACGTATTGTTTTGCATGTCCACTCTCAAATGTAATCTCTGGGTTAAAGAAAAGAAGCTTAAATTGTATTTATTTATTTAGATCTTTAATAAAGCAGGAAATAAAACTCCTGACATTTAAAATATCCTCTGAAAGTATGCCCTGGCTGAGGCACAAAGCAGCCTAGAACACACACACACACACACACACACACACACACACACACACACACACACACACACACACACACACACACACACACACACACACACACACACACACACACACACACACACACACATCACAGGAGACCAACAACAAAACCATTAATACATCTCAAAGCAGCCATCACAAGTGATGGTAAATAATTAAAATCTGGTGTTTATTAATTTAAAATGTTTAAAGACCAAGTTCACTCGTTTTACAACACATTTGCTGGGATCTCTTAGCCTGGCAAGCCAGACTAAATAAACAAAGCAAGAATTTGGTCTAGTTCACTAGGCTAGGGATCTCTAATATATAATGAAGGCCTTGTGAGATGATCTCTGTGGGAAAAAACGCTCTGGTGCTCCTATATCAGGACCTGGAAGTTAGCCAGAGCAGAGGTGACCAGGACAGGGCGGGTTTTGGAGTCTAATTTCATGATATTCAGATACCTCGCCTCTGATTGGCTAACAGCAACGCAATTCTATTGGCTCTGTTTGCTCTGCAACGTGATGTTTTCTGTCCACAAACAACACAAGCCTGAAGGAGTTCTCCATTTTTTGTTCTTTTTTTACACAGTTTGGTAAAAAAAAATTTTTTACCTGACGTGTTTCAGCTAAAATCTCTAGCCATCATCAGAGATCGCCGATGTTGGTGGCGTCCCTTTTATCCGAGGTTAACAGAGGACGATGCTGCTCTCTGCTCAGGGGTGCCTCCAAAAAATTGGAAACGTGTGTTTTTTATTTGTTCTGAATATTTTTTTACTCGTTGTATTATTATTTATTTAGTTTTACAATCATATCTTGAATAAATAAGATAAATTTATGATTTGAGTGAACATTAATATGAGATATTAACACTGGCTTTTGTTGGGGGGGGGGGGTCAGCAATTTTCTAGGGGTGGGCATCCCTTGAGGGCGCCATTGCCTCTACTGCCCTCATTCTCTTTGCTGATGACACATTTCCATGCGTGATCCAATGTGACTACTCCATCTTCTCTCTTCCTGTTTTGTTTCCTTATTTCTTTGGCTTCCTAGATCCATCTTTTGTAATTTTGCCGTTCTGTGTTTATTTATCCGTGTTCTGCCCCAGCCCATCATATGGTTTTCCCTTGTGCAGTGGTTGGTTACGGCTGATTTCTTTATTGTACTTTCTGCTTCTTGTTTTGCTGCTCTTGTGTGTCTTCGACTTGTTTCTCTCTCGCTCTCCTTTCTATGTCCTATTGTTCGCGTGATGAGTTGGCGTCCGGTTTCTCCCATGTACGTTTTATTGCAGAGTTTGCATGGGATTTCGTACATAACTCCACATTTTTTATCTGCTGATATCTGAAGGAGTTCTGCCATGTTGTGAAGTTGCTAATGCTAACAGTTAGCTTCTACTGGTCGAGATTTTCTCTGCTGTTTGCTGAACCTTAAATCAAAAACAGCCTTCTCTGTCACGAGTCAAGATGAGTGATTTCATGAATGTTAAGTGTGACGTAGATCTTTGAGGCTTTATAAATCTTAGACTTTAATTTCCATCAGAAGCTAATGCAGGAAATAAATGTCTTAAACTCAAGAGAGACGGAACATATTTCAAGTGAAAAACTGTTTCTCATAGAACTTTATCTTTAAAATAATTTAATGAGATTTCAGACCTAATTTAATCAGAGGCGAGGCTGCATGGTGGAGTGCCTTTTTCCTAACTCTGCAGGAACCATTGCATTGTCAAAATGAGACATTTTATTCCTCTGGAAATTTAAGAAGGCTGCAAATTTAAAATTAGGGATAGAACCAGGAATTTTGTGTTAAATGTGCAAGGGCTCATCAAAACGATTTTCCCATATACCCAGCATTTGATTCAGATGTTCTGCACACATGTTGGGATTTAACTCATTTATAAGGATCTCAACATGTAAAATAAAATGTCTTATCAAAGAAGTTATTTAAAAAAAAACATGTTTTGCCTCTATAGAAGGAGCTTTTGCTATTTCAGTTGAAAAAGAGAGAGTACCAATCTTTTATACTTAAATACATATTTTTTTGTGCTCGTCAAACACGTGTAAGCTCCTCTCCCTTCCCGGGTCATCAGAGTTTTTACACCTCTCTCAATCCGTAACTCTTATATGAACATTTCTGTCCACAAGAAAGGTGTCCCGTGTCTCTAGGACATACTGAGTGAATTGACCTCACACATTAGGAAGCAGCGCTACAGTTTACAAGTTTGGGACCTAGACTGAATTTAAAGACCTGATCTGATAGCATCTGAAGACATCTAAAGAGCTGGCCCCTGTGTTTACGGGCATTTTCAACTCCTCGCTGGAGGCATCTCATGTGTCTGCCTGCTTCAAGACCTCCACCATATTCCATGTCCCCAAGAAGCCGAGGATCAGTGGACTCAGTGACTACAGACCTGTGGCTCTGACATCTGTGGTCATGAAGTCATTTGAGCAGCCTTGTTCTCCCCCACCTCAAGACCCTCACAGTGCTCCTCCTGGACCCCCTGCAGTTTGCCTACAGAGCCAACAGGTCTGTAGATGGTGCCATCAACATAGCTCTACACTTCATCCTGCAGCATCTGGACTCCCCGGGTACCTACGCCAGGATCTTGTTCGTGGACTTCGCCTCTGTCTTCAACACAATCCTGCCAGACCTCCTCCAAGACAAACTGTCCCAGGGGAACGTGCCTGACCCAATCTGCAGGTGGATCACTGACTTTCTGACAGACAGGAAGCAACAAGTGAGGTTGGGGAAATATGTCTCGAGCCTGCGGACCATCAACACCGGTTCCCCTCAGGGTTGTGTACCCTCTGCTCCTCTCCCAGTACACCAACAGCTGCACTTTCAACCATGAGCTTGTCATGCTTATCAAGTTTGCAGACGACACCACCGTGATCGGATGGGGATGAGTCTGCCTACAGATGGAGGTCAAATGGCTGACATCCAGAAGGCAACAGAGGTTGTTGTGGATTTTAGGAAGCACTCTCCCTCTCCCTCTCCCCCGTAATCCTGGCTGACACCCATCACGACGGTGGACTCGTGTCGTTTCCTGGGCATCACCATCATCCAAGACCTCAAGTGGGAGCCCACCACCACCTCCTTCATGAAAAAAAGGTCCAGCAGAGGATGAACTTCCTGAGGCAGCTGAAGAAACTCAACCTGCCAGCACAGTCGATGAGGCAGTTCTACACCGAGTCCATCCTCACCTCTTCAATAACCGTGTGGTATGCTGAAGCCACCATCAGGGATATGAAAAGACTGCAGCATGTTGTGTGCTCTGCTGAGGTCATTGGCTGCAAACTCCCCTCCATACAGGACCTGTACACCTCCAGGACACTGAGGCGAGGTCGGATCACAGCAGACACGTCTCACACTGGTCGCAGTCTCTTCGACTCGCTCCCATCTGGCAGGACGACATCCGACCACAAAAACTGTTTCTTCCCTCCGCGGTCGTACTCATTAATGACAGTCGTAGACCTGCCCACTCCAGCTGCTTTGTTTCAGTCACACGGCCCTGTGTTGTGTTTGCACCTGAACTGACCTGCTCTGACCAGTGCCTACACTGACTTGTATAAAATAG